CTGACCTCATCCTGATTAAACCCATTTCCTCTTGACCCCTGGGAGAGGGTGCCTAACGCTGCCCTGTTCAATGGACATTTATCCCGTAGTATGGAAGGTAGCTAGGAACGTCTTGCGCTGGAACGGTGTTGACTGCCGATTGATCGGTTACTGGCTAATGGCCGACCGTATCATTACAAAATATACTGGCCTCCAGCGATGAACGACGGCCGGACAACCACTAAAGACTGGCCTGGTGTCACCTGATTTAAGACGTTTACTGATGGAATGCGTGTGCAGGGGTTAGGGAACTTCCTGACCTGCGCAGTAGAGAACATCCAAGTCTATATCGACGAGCCTAAAACACACACACACACACACACACACACACACACACACATATATATATATATATATATATATATATATATATATATATATATATAAGTAATAGTAAAGAAAGATTGTCCACCTATGCTTCTTATAATATGTAGATATAATACATTTTCAACAAAAAGGTTTCTACAAACCCTCTACAACCCCAATCGTTTCAAACAAGCCCTAAACTATCAGATCTCTTCAGTAATATAACACATGCGGAAAAAAAATTACCGTGGAAAAGAAAGTCCCATTTCATTTCAATTTTTTTTTTATTTCTGGTCTTGAGAAAAGACACAGGCGTCTCTGAAAAATCCGATATTAACATCTTTCTCCCCATGCTACCATTTGGTTAAAAGACCCAGTAATATAAAATAAAAATTATTAAGCTTAATTCAATATTAATTATTTTTGTTGTTTTTATCTCTCGATTTTTTCCCATCTTCCATTCATCTATATATTCATATATATATATATATATATATATTTATATATATATATATATATATATATATAACATTTATATATGAATGTCCAAGAAATTTTCATAAAAAAATAATCCTGTCAAAGGACGAATATTTTCTATATATATATATATATATATATATATATATATATATCAACCTTGAAAATAGCTAAATGTATAGCCGAAGGCGCTCGGATAAAAAAGAACACTCGGACAGTTTTATATAATTTATCATCTGAAAAGAAAACAATTATTAGCTCACATGAGAAATTGAATAAAAAAAATTAATCAAAGCACCTTTGTCTGTCGTATTCAATGAAATGTGCATGAAAGAAGGATTGCTGCATAAATACACACAAATATATATATATATATATATATATATATATATATATATATATATATATATATATATATATATATATATATATATCCCCTACGGATTACCCATAAATTTACCTAAACTTATATATATATATATATATATATATATATATATATATATAGAGAGAGAGAGAGTCATTATCATCATCATTCTTCGCTCTCCGTGTGGTTGGTCAGAACTCCATTAACAATCTCTTTCTACACTGCTGCTCGGTCCTGCATTGCCGACTCCTGACCCCCAACGTCCAGCCTCGTTTTCATTGCTGTTGAAAGAATCTTTTAGGGACGAAATCCCTTGATCATTTCGACAAAGCCCTCTATTTTAACATCTTTCTCATCATGCTGCAATTTGTTTAAAAAGCTGACTAATATACAATAGATATTATTACTCTTATTGTCAATATTATTATTTTTTACTCTTTTTTTATCCCTTAAATAATTTCACCGGCCTATTATATATACAGAAAAATGTAATATAAAAGGAAATTTAAGATGCATTTTCGGCAAATTTACCGATAATACAAAACTTATTCGACAATTTGAAAGAAAAACAAATTGATCGACACAACTTGCCCATATTATATAACAAAACATGTTTGTGAGATTTCTTGCTGCCAAAATACAACTTTCATAAAAAACGAAAGAATATTCATCTACAACCCAGTGTGTCTGAAGATTTTAATTTTTTAATATTTTTTTTTATTTTTTATTGTTCAATATATATATATATATATATATATATATATATATATATATATATATATATATATATATAATTATGTATTTGGGCAACAATCCCTCTTTTATGCCACTTTCGTTAAAAACTAATGAAAATGTTCTGTGGTTAAGTTGTTTTTTATAGAATTTTTCGTGTGTTCTTATCATTTTTTTCTTCTTTTCAGGACATAAATAATATAAAAAGCGTTCAAATATTTTATATATTCAATCGCTTTTGGTTATACTTTAAGCTATTATCAAGGATGACTTTTATTTTACTTTTAAATGAATATATGGATTGTTTTATGTATGTATCTAGTGTTATAGGAAACATACTTATTGATAATACAAATATAATAGCCTAATCCACATGTAAAAAAAAGGCAATAATGGAAGCATTAATAAAAACGAAAAAAAAACAACCCTCAGTAATATCAAGTATGAACATGGCCACAATGTTCTGACCGTGTTTGGAAAATAAAACATTCCTATCACTTTCTTTCAAATACTCTTACACGGTATCGAATGGTGTCGCAAGCCCCCATGACACGTTGATGAAGCGTCTCTGCATTATTAATGTCTCCTGCATAAACCATTTGTTATAGGTGACCCCACAGATAAAAGTCCAAAGGAATGAAACCAAGGGAACGTACAATACATGTAACCGGTCTTCCATTACCTATCCATCTTTCATGGTAAGTGTCAGTCAGTGCATTGCGAACAGTGTGACTAAAATATGCTGGAGCCGCATCCTGCATGAACTACGTTTTCTTATTAGCAGGAATACATCCTCTAGCCGGTCTGAAAATGTGTTCGAAATAAGACAGCTCCTGTAAGACGTGCTGGGAGAACATATGGACCTACCAGACAGTTACCTATAATTCCAGTCCACACATTAATCGTAAACTGATGCTGTGACTATTTCTAGCCTGTATTGACCATGGGGATTCCGATCAACCCACAAATGTCGGTTGTGTAAATTTATTATTCCATCTCTTCCAAATATTGCCTCATCCCTAAACAAGACTGGAGAGACAAGCAATGGATTGTCAGTTTGTGCAATAAACCATTGGCAAAAGTTCTCTCATGGTGAGTGATTAGATGGCGGAAGATCCTGCAAAAACTGCAAATGATATGGATACAGGAGCTGCACTTGAAGTACCTTTCATGCTGCACTATGAAATGTACGACATGATAGGGCCACTTGACGTGTACTGATATCGAGATCATATCCGACAGTTTGTAGAATGTGTTCTTCTTGGTGAGGCGTACGAGCGGATCACGGTTTTTCTCGATCCATAGTTTGTGGTGCTACGGATCCTGTCTTAGCAACGCGGCGAGAAACAGCAGCAATGGTTGGATGACTCGGCTGACTTCGGTCTGGAAACGCCATCTGATGCAGCCATACAGTCTCGTGTCTATTACCATTTGCACGGCCGTATGTAGGATTCATAATTGTCTGCTCACCATATGAATATTTTGCCATTGTTAAACGGAAAAATTCGTTAAACGTTGAAGACGGACCAGCAGCAAATGACACGAATTACAAATGTAACCTAGTCTACATAACAACACAACGCTATCTACCCTAAGCTTTCTTTAAGCTTAATAGCTAAAAACGATGGATTTGTGGACATATGTCTATATAGACTTTGTTTTGACGTGAGAAACGCGCCCTCAAGGAATAATAATAATAATAATAATTTCAAGTGGGTGAAGAAGTGCAAATAAACTATAATACACCTACTGCAGCAGCCCAAAAACTTTTCAGCAATATTTCAAACATGAAATATATATGCACACACACACACACACACACGCGCGCGCGCGCACGCACTCACACATACACATATATATAAGCTTTCTTTTTTACGGCAGCGAAAGTTTGGACGATTTCCAACGATGAAGAAGAGACACGAGGCGACAGAGATGTGGTTCTACAGAAGGATGCTAAGGATATTATGGACCGATCGTGTGAGCAGCGATGAGGTCTTAAAAAGGTTGCAAACAAGGAGGAGGCTTATAGTTAATATCAGGAAGAGGCAGCTGAAGTTTCTGGGACACATAATGAGAATGGGGGGCCTGGAGAATCTGATACTCACGGGTCGAATAGAGGGAAAGAGAGACAAGGGAAAACAATGCATGACATACCTGGCGGGCTTAAGCAAATGGATGACAGACCATGGTCTTTGAGAGGAAGCAGATGGAAGGAACTTGTTGGGAGCTGAAAGGGATATTGAGAGTTGGAGAGCCATGATCGCCTACGTCCAGAAAGGACGTGGCACATAAAAAGAAATATATATATATATATATATATATATATATATATATATATATATATATATATATAAGCTTCAATAAAGAGGGAAAGAGATCTATTACAAAAGATCGAACTCCGGGTGAGAGAGAAGTTTCAGCTATGCCAGTTAAAACATCAGTGAAAAAGACTTGAAAATGAAATCGTTCGTGAAACCTGTGAGGCAACTTGTTACTCCAAGAGAGACAGCTAGAGAATGCGAAGATCATCTTGAATACCGGAAAATGATCCTGGAATAATATGTATATATCTGAACTTTATTTCAGTCCTTCATGATCCTTAGCTATGATTAATTATTGATGAATATATCATTTTCGTTTATGATCGATTTTATAAGGATTCTTCTGCTAATCTTAGAGAGTAATTATACATTCTTGCTGTTCAAAGTAGAGCGCGATAGTGTTGTAAAAACCTCAAACAATTCCAGTCAGATATCTTTAATCGTTTCTAAGATACAACGGTCCAAAGCTTAATCTAAGAATTGGACAATTTTTTTGTTACACAATTTGGACAATTCTACTGTTACACCCGGTGTGAGAGAGAGAAAGAAAGCGGGAGAAAGTAGAGAAAAAAAATATATATATATGTGTGTGTGTGTGTGTGTGTGTGTGTATTGGGTACTGGTCTTCATCAAGAAGCCCTACCCACCAAAATTCTGATAATTTGGTGATGTGGTTAGATTTCGGAATAGGGTCATGTCAAAAATTTTTCAGTTACAACTCGTGTGTGTGCATATATATATATATATATATATATATA